GATCTGGGCCTCAGGACTCCTCCCGATGGCCCCCGCCGACGCCGGCCCCATTTCTGGATATTTGGGCGCCGCCTCCGGCGCCGGGAGGCGCTGGGAAAACTGGCTACGTGTAGCTGATTCGCCAAACCCCCCTTGCGTTCCCGCACATCCGATATCTTGACATTTTCAATGCGTGCCCCCTGGAGGTCTGGACTACTTCACCGGGGTTGGCTTTTCATTCCGAGTCGTTTTTTGACGGTCCCGGGGCCCGTCGAGGGCCTCTGGAGTCCGAACATCGCTACAAACTTCCTTCTTGTTTTTTTCCCTACCTAGGTTCTGCCTAGAAGGGTTCTTACTCTGTTAGCTTAAGGGGCCGGGCAGTGGAAAGCGCCCCGGGCGGTTCCCCCAGTCCCCGCCCCGCGGTTCCCCCAGTGGCGCCCCCCTGGGTTCACCCAGCTTAGTTTAGCTAAGCTAAGCCTAGCTTCGCTTATCTCATCCTAGCTAGCTTAGCTTGGCTTAGCTTAGCTTAGCTTAGCTTAGCTTGGCTTGGCTTAGCTTAGCTTAGCTTAGCCTAGCCTAACCTAGCTTAGCTTAGCTTAGCTTACCTTAGCTTAGCTTAGCGCAGCGCAGCATAGCGCAGCGCAGCATTAGCACAGCATAGCGCAGCATGGCATAGCATAGCATAGCCAAGCATAGCATAGCATAGCGTAGCATAGCTCATAATAGCCTAGCATAGCATAACATAGCGTAGCATAACATAGCGCAGCATAGCATATCATTGCTTAACATAACACAGCGCAGCATAGCATAAGCAAACACAAAAGCAAAGCACTATCAACAGCACACGCAACAGCAAAAGCAAAGGCAAAGGCAAACTCAAAGGCAAGAGCAACAGCAAAGGCAGTGCAAAGCAACAGCGGAACCAATGCGAAAGTGTAGATGTAAATGTAGATGTAGGTGTAGATGTGGATGTAGGTGTAGATGTAGATGTAAATGTAGATGAAGGTGTAGATGTAGGTGTAGATGTAGATGTGAGATTTTCGCTGTTGATGTAGATGTAGATGTAGATGCAGGTGTAGTTGTAAATGTAGCTGTCGTTGTAGATGTAGATGTTGCTTTCCTAAATGCTCCAACTCCTAGGTAGGGTCGCACTGGGATAATTTCCACCATTTTGGAGTATTGTTGGAGTATCTTTTATTCCCTACATAGGCTCTGCCTAGAATGGTTCTTACTCTCTAGCTTAAAGGGGCCGGGCAGTGGAAAGCGCCCCGGGCGGTTCCCCCAGTCCCCGCCTCGCGGTTCCCCCAGTCCCCTGAGAGCTTTAGCTTTAGCTGTAGCTTAGCTTTAGCTTAGCTGTAGCTTTGCTTCAGCTTCGCTTTAGCTTAGCTTTAGCTTAGCTTCAGCTTAGCGTCAGCCTAGCTTTAGCTTAGTTTTAGTTTGGCTTTAGCTTAGCGGCACCTTAGCTTTAGCTTAGCTTTAGCTTAGCTCTGCTTTAGTTTTAGCTTAGCTTTAGCTTAGCTTTAGCTTAGCTTCAGCTTCGCTTTAGCTTCGCTTTAGCTTAGCTTTAGCTTAGCTTTAGCTTAGCTGTACCTTAGCTGTACCTTAGCTTTAGCTTAGCTTTAGCTTAGCTTTAGCTTAGCCTTTACCGTAGCTTTAGCTTAGCTGTAGCTTAGCTTTAGCTTTTAGCTTAGTGTTAGCTTAGCTTTAGCTTAGCCTTTACCGTAGCTTTAGCTTAGCTTTAACTTAGCTGTAGCTTAGCCTTTACCGTAGCTTTAGCTTAGCTTTAGCTTAGCTTTAGCTTATCTGCACCTTAGCTTTAGCTCAGGTTTAGCTTAGCGGTAGTTTAGCCTTAGCTTAGCCTTAGCTTAGCTTTAGCTTAGCTTCATCTTAGTTTTAGCTTTCCTTGAGCTTAGCTTTAGCTTAGCTTTAGCTTAGCTTTAGCTCAGTTTTAACTTAGCTTTAGCTTAGCTTCTGGTTTAGTGTTCGTACTAATGCTGCTTTCCTAGGGGCTCCAACTCCTATGTAGGGTCGCACTGGGATAATTTGTCGTCGAAGATCCCCCTGCAGGGGGTTCGCATTCCTGCCCCGAGGGGCTCTTGGCTCGGGCCTGGGCGTCAGCCTGGCGGCCGTGTGGTCGCCGTTGCCGCCCCGTCGCCGCCTCGCCGCCGCGCGTCGTCCGGGCCTGGGCGGCCGTCTGGCGGCTCTGCGGTCGCCGTCGCCGCTTCGTCGCCGCCACACGCTGGTCACGAGTTTGGTTGTGCGAGCCTCGTAGACTGCACCGTGAAGGTTGCACCACCCAGATTGCTCTGCACTCAGCACAGATTGCGCCACGCAGCGTGCAGCACGCCTGTAGCACCACGTAGCTCACTATACATGCATGTTGTGCTACATCGCTTGCGCCGCACATTTTGGTTGCACCACAGAGATTGCAGCACATAACCTGCACCACATAGGTTGTACCACTTAGCTTACACTGCAAGTATTGCACCATGTTGCGCCACCTAACGTACTAGAACACACCGTTTAGAGCCCACGCGTGCCATCATCCTGAGTATGGTGTTCTTATTGTGATGGGACGCCTTCGCCTCCTGATTCGCCTCCTTCCTCCCTCCCATCGCACTCAGGTCACTCATACTCGGACTCACTCACACTCAGACTCACACACATCCAGATCCACTGATATTCAGATTCGATCCCGCTCACATGCACTGATTCGCAGACTTGCTCATTCGGAGTCACCCACAACACACACATACCACCCACAGCATGGGCATTCGCACTCACACCATATCACCGCGACATGGCAGGGGTGGCAGTTGGGCACTCCAAGGGGCAGCCGCCAGAAGATGAGTCCCAGTCCAGTTTGTTCGACCACGTCGCGGTCGGCCGCGTTCGCTCGGCTCGGCTCGGTCGGTCGCTGCAGCGCCGCTGCGCCCTTCCGGGCTCGCCTACGGCCTCTCGGCCTTGGTCGGTCTCGGGCTCGCTGTCGGTTCGGCCGGCGTTCGGCTGTGTGTTGCCGCCGAAAATGGCACTCGATTGCCGAACGCGGAGTAGCCAGGTCACCCGCGGGGGCGCGGAGATGATCGTGCCTCGCGCCTCGCGGCCTGGGCCGGGGAGCTTCGCGTCTCCAGGGGCGGCGGTGCGGGGGCGCGAGACGATCGCGCGCAGCGCATCGAGGGGCGCGATGCGCGGGACCACTGCGGGGAGGAACAAGATCTGGTGGCAAGTTGCCTTGGCAAGGCAGGGGTTTGTCTCGCCCTCGCGCAGCTTCGCCTCGCCCGCGGGCGCGTCGCGCGCGACACGAACTGAAACCGACATCGACGTCCCGGTTGGGAGACTTCGTTCCACGTCGATCTCACCAGACAACCCTTGATCGGGAATGTTGTGAGTCTAAGGTTGAATGAGGTCGAGTATCGTTTGGTCTGAGTAGGCGCGCGTCTGAGTGCGGGTGGGTTCGAGTACGTGTGAGGCTGAGTATGGGTGGATATGTGGACGAGAGGGTCTCTGCCCGAGCCCCGTGGGCCCGCGGGCCGCAACATGGTCGCTGCAGGTGCGTACCATACTGTACTGCTGAGGAGCGACGGGACGTCCGTGGCCTGCGGCCACAATAGCGACGGCCAGTGCGACGTCCCGGCGCTGGGTGGAGGAGGCCTGACTTACACGCAGGTCGCTGCGGGTGGCGATCACACCGTGCTGCTGAGGAGCGACGGGACGGCCCTGGCCTGCGGCCACAATTTCTACGGCCAGTGCGACGTCCCGGCGCTGGGTGGAGGAGGCGCTGAGTCCTGCTCCTCGTCCTCTTCCTATGGTCCCTTCGCTTCGTCCCTCTCTGGCCTCTAGCTCTCGGGCTTGAGGCCACTGAGGTTGCGCTCCCCCCTCTCCGTCCGCGTCCTGTTTTGGCATTGAACATCCTTTCAAGCCCACAGGTACCCCGCAGAGCCCAGCATGACCCTCTGTAACGCCCCGTGCAGCTCGTAGAAACGCCCTGCTGATGCTTTTTAATGTTTTCTCGGATGCGGGACGCCCCTGAATGCCTCTGGGACAGCTCAAAAGGGCTCTGAGGCTCCTACGAGCACCCACGAGAGCGCCAAGAAGCCTCCGACAGGCCTCCAAGACCATCCAAAAGAGCTCCGTGGAAGCCCGAGAGAAGCGAACACGATTCAAAATCACTCTAAAATATATGATTTGGGCGGCCTCGCATGTTCGCCCCCGATGCGCTTCCGAGGCTTGCGCGCGACCTCCCTAAGGGGCGCTCCCAGATGTCCCCGAGAGGCGTCCCGAGCGCACCCGAGGGGCCTCCAGAGGCCACCAAGAGACCCCCACGCCCGGAGAAGCACCAGCGAGGCTCCGAGGACGCACCCAACGAGGCTCCGAAGAGCCCTCGGGAGGCTCCCAAAGTCGGGGGCGGCAAAGAGGGGGGTGATGACTGGGGGGGGGTGGATATCATGGCGAGGGCCATGATTTTTCCGCAGATTTCATGGCGCCTCTTCTTGTTTCATCACGTGCCTGGCCCTCCCGCTGGGCCGCGCACATGCCGCCGGTCATTATTTGCACCTCCCCTCTTGGACACCCCCCTTTTGGCCGCCCACGCCAAAGAAGCTCACGAAGGCGCGATGATCTTTAAGAAGCAGGGTCCCAGAGGCCCCAAAGAAGCTCCAAGAGGCCCCAAGAGTCGCCACCGAGAGGCTCCCAGAGTGCTTTCAAGACGCCAGGGTCTGACTCTCCGATTCGTTTCGGTCGCCGTTCCGTCTTTCGATTCGATTATGGCATTTGCTGCTTTCTTGCGAAGCTAGTTCGGGCGATCAAAAGCTAGTTGATGCCGATGTTTCAGAGGCTGCATCTGTGGAGCGAGCACTTTCTTGGTTCTGCTCTTGAGGCCGTCCACGGCCCCCTACGCTCACCCCGGGCGTGCTTGGCGCAGAAGTCCTGCGGTCCTCTTGGACGTTATTGTGGCTCTGTTGGGAACCGTATGTTGTGTAGATTCCTGTGTGTATGTGGTGTGTGTGTGTGTGGGTGTGTGTGTTGTGTGTGTGTGTGTTCGTGCGAAACCCTTCGTGCGAGGCCCCATAGGGAGTTCCACTGAAAGCGGTGCCCGCAATGCGGCACTTGCTGCTGCATATGGTTGGGTCTTTCGATAGGCTAATTTCCTGTGTTCCGTCGGCGTGAGTGGCTCCGAGCTTCAGGCCGCCTGGAGGCGCGCTCGAGCTTGCACTCAAAGGGCCAGCGCAGCGTTTGTGATGAGCTGTGGAGCAGTCGCAGCTGACGACGGCGGCGAGGGAACTGTACATGAGGTGGTGACAGGGGCGTTTTCCCGGTACAACACGGGCATTGATGCCAGCAAGTTTGGCGACGAGCACGCTCGGAAATTTTATCAGTACCTTCACGAGCATGGTGGGCGAAGCCTAGGCAAAGAGTTGTCCGTCAAAAGACGCCTGGTTGTGAGACCCACTGTTCCTGGGAAGAAGACGGATACACTTTTAGTTCGGTCCGACAATTTTGACAGAATGTTGTTTATCTTTCTTTTCTTCATTAGAGCCCGGTGGTCTTTGTTCTTGCGGCGGAACAGTGGGCTGTATGTTCTGCCCGTGCTCTTTTTGTTCTCTCAGTACTTTTATGCAGCAGGCTGCGGCAAGCTCCGCCACCGTGCCAGCGAGGATGCGGGCCCTTGAGGCTGCCTTGAGGCCCTGTTGAAATCGTCAGACATCCTGCCAGACAGCATTTGGAACTGTAGCACGCTTCGTCGTGCCAGGGTGGCGCGGCGGCGGACGAGGGCCCCGATCGCCTTTGTGACACCACAACATGGGCGTTTATCAAGTGTTATGAGGAGCTGCTTCTGATATGGGATACCTTGCCCGACGTGGCGGTGGTCGCCGAGTTCATGTTGTATAATGTTTTTACTGGTGCTCCGCAGCCTTACGGACCTGAGCTTACCGCCACGTTTCGAGGGTGCTACAATCAGAGGAACCGCGCGGATTTTCCGAAATTTTTGCAGGCCTGCCGGGAGGGTGGTGTATTTTTCCGTTTGGGAGAGCACATCACAAAAATCATGGATGCATCAACTTCGGTTCCCTGGCTGCTCGGGTCGATGGCGCAGATAGAGGCTGCGTTGCTTGGCGTCAAAGGAATTGGCGCTTTCAATGCGAAGGAGTTTTTGTGGCACATCATCTTGCTTCACGAGGCGCGTACTAACGCGCATTCACCTTTACGCGAGTATTTCGTTGGCAAGAGTTTGTTCGGGAACGGTGCCTGCGACGGGTTGCGTATATTCTATCCTCTTCTCACTGCCTCGCGCATTGATGATGCCGCTCGCGACTTGTACTCGGCATTAGAGGATCTGGGCATTTGGTTGCCCTGCATGCATTCGTTGCAGTGGAAGTTGTGCTTGTTTCAGAAATCGCTCAACGCGTGCTACACGAGGCCGGCGCCTGGGGACAGATCCATGGTGAAGGAGCCCAGCCGTGTCAAGATCTGGGCGCAGTTGCTTCGACATCCCCACTGGCCATCCCTCCGTCGAGAAATCCTCTCATATGGTTTGGGGAATGAGTTGTGTCATTTTGAACATTCGATTGAGGTCCTGCAGAATGTGCCCAGGCACTTGCCAGGCCACGTTACGTGTCGCACGTGCTTGGGTCTTTCAACGAGAAGCCACGGATCGTGACAAGCTCACTATACGTGCTACCGGTTGATACAGGATGCACGCGCGACGAGCCGGCAGCGCCCTCTGACGCAGTTTTTTCGAGTGGCCCCTTCTGAGGCTCCAGTGTAAGGTCGCTGCAGCCGGGAACATCCCGCTGCCTTCGCCGCCAGCCTCCGGTTCCTGCTCCCGCCAGTTTTTCTCCTGTCGGGATCCTGCAACGGGTGCGTGTGCCCTGGGGTGGGTGTGAGCACGGTCCGTTGGCGCACCGAACCGCTCAGGACAAATGCCCCCGGCTGCCGGGAGCCCCCGATGGTTGCCGATAGCTGAGGCATGCGGGGGGCATTGGTTTTGGCCAGTTCGGTGCAACGGCCGATCGCAGGCTTACCCCGCCCTTCCGGAACCCCCCCCCGTGGTGAATCCCGATCTTGCCTTGCCCCCTCCCTCCTCCAGCAGGAGGGCGAGGGAGGAGGAGGAGGAGAGGAGGAGGAGGAGGAGGAGGAGGAGGAGGAGGAGGAGGAGGAGGAGGAAGAGGAGGAGGAGGAGGAGGAGGAGGAGGAGGAGGAGGAGGGGGGAGGAAGAGGAGGTGGAGGAGGGGGGAGGGGGAGGTGGAGGAGGAAGGAGGAGGAAGAGTGGGAGGAGGAGGGGGCTCCACCGCCTGAGGAGGAGAGAAGTGCCCCCCGTGGTCCGTGCGACCAGGCAGGTCCCAGGTGGTGATGCGGCGGGCTTCGGCCCCCGAGCCTTCCCCCCCCTACCTCGACTCAAGGGAGCTGCCAACGGGGGCTCTCGGGAACGGTTCAAACGGCCCCGACGCCGACGACGCCGACGCCGACGGCGCCGACGTCGAGGACGACGCAGACGGCGATCTCGACGCCGACGAGACCGACACCGACGCCGACGACGACGACGCCGACGACGCCGGCGCCGACGCCGCAGCCTGGCCTGAGGCGTCCGCGCGCGATGTGCGCCGGGTCCCATTCCTGCCACGCATTTCGCATCTTCGACGACTGGACAGGCCATGGGGAGAGGGAAAACGAAGACTTTGTATTGTTTTTAACAGTAAGGATGGGCGGGTCCGGGTTGACGGCCGCGCGCGATGTGCGCCGCGTCCTGTTCCTGCCACGCATTTCGTATCGTCGACGACAAGAAAGGCCATGTTGAGAGGAAAAATTGTCACTTTGTATTGATGTTTTTCAGTCCGGATGGTAGGGCTCGGATTGGCTGGCTATCGGCCGGAAAACGAAGTAGGTAAGGGTATATTCTAATAAGATCTACTAAGTAATAAGGATGTGTCCGCTCGAGCGGCCTGCGCTTTCTGTGGCCGCAGCTCGTCGGGAGGTGTCTTGCGCGCGCCGGGCCCGTCGTGCAGAGAGCGGGCGGCGAGCCCCGCGGCGCGTCAGGCGGGACGGGCGTGGAGGCGACAGGCCTTCAGGCCCGGGCACTGTTGCCTCTGCGACACGCCTGTCGGGGGCCTCAAGACGGTGTGGTGATCCCACCGTCGGGTGAGTCGGACTTCTCATAGACTTTTCGTCGTTTTCGGTTTCTCGTCGTTTTCGGCGTCTGGAGGCCGTGCGCGGCCCCACAAGGCTCGCAAGACCGACACGGAGTGAAAACCTTGTGCGGATGGACACCGTCAGGGGTCTGGGGCTTTCTTTCGAACCGATTTTGGTCGGAGCGGGGACTTGGGGTGAGCGCGCGGATTTGAGACTGGGGCCGTTCTCCGAGGACGCCTCGGGTGCCTGCGGCCTCCGAGGTCCCAAAACCGTGCGGTGATGGACCGCGCGGTGAGGTCTTAAAGGTTTCGACGTCGCCGCACGGTCTGTCACCACCAGCACCATCATTTCGGGGGGAAGAGAAGCGGCACCACCACCACCACCACCAGGGGGGCAACCTCCAGCGAGGAGGTCCACGATGCCTCCCCGAGCTGGGGATGGGGGATGTCTCGAGCGAGAGGGGGGACCACACCACCAGGGGGGCCCCCCTTGGCTCCTCGCGCTGGTGGTCCCTGGTGGTGGTGGTGTCGGTTTCCTCTGTTCCTACACACCGTTTTGGGATCACCAAGGTTGGATGTGTGGTGGTTCTCTCTGCGCCCACTGCGCAAGCCGCACGTGCGGTGGCGCGCTGGCGTCGGCAGGCGGCCGGCTTCTGTGTGACGGCGTCCTTGCATGGCGACGCGCGCCCAGATCAGAATCGCCTTTTTTCAACCGCGCACTTTTCAAGGCTGCTCCGATGAAAGGGTCAGTCGGCAGCAGGCAGGGTCAGGCGTTGGCTGTCGCCCATCAGGTGTTGCAGGCACTGCACCCTTCTCTCCTCTTCTGCTCGCTTTCCTTGGGATAGGCTTCCATCTCGCGGGGTTTTTGGAAAAGGCGGGACGAGGCGAAGAGCGGCGACAGTTGCACATGTGGCAGCCCCAGGGCGACGACGACGGCGACGACGACGACGGCGACGACGACGACAACGACAACGACCATGCTGATGACGATGATGACGATGACGACGACGACGGCGGGGCGGCCGACCAACCGGAAAGTTCGAACTTTCCGGTCGGTCGTCCGCCCGGCCGTCGACCGTGATAATGACGATGATGACGATGACGACGATGACGGCGGGGCGGCCGACTAAGCGGAAAGTTTGAACTTTCCGGTCGGTCGTCCGCCCGGCCGTCGACCATGATGACGATAATGATGATGACGACGACGACGGCGGGCGGCCGACTAACCGGCTAGATCGAATTTTTTGGTCGGTCGTCCGCCCGGGTGTCGACCATGATGATGACGACGATGACGATGACGACGACGACGTCGGGGCGGCCGACCAACCGGGAAGTTCGAACATTCCGATCGGTCGTCCGCCCGGCCGTCGAACATGATGATGACGATGATGACGACGATGACGATGACGACGACGACGGCTGGGAGGCCGACCGACCGGAAAGTTCGATTTTTCCCGTCGGTCGCCCGCCCGGGCGTCGACCACGATGACGATGATGACGATGACGACGACGACGGCGGGGCTGATATATGCCCCCCTCCCAACCGTCTAGTGGTAGATTTGCCTCCCCATCCGTCCTGTGGTATATTCCCCCCCTTCCAACTGTCTAGTGGGACATTTGATCCCCCCAAGCCCCCCGACCGTCTAGTGGTATATTTGTCCCCCCCCCCGCCGTCTAGTGGTATATGTGCCCCTCCAACCGTCTAGTGGTTCATTTGCTCCCTCATGGTCGTGCTCTGGGGGGAGAAAAAGAAAAACGCTCTATAGCTCTCAGCTTTTTTGCCCTATAGCCTTATATCTCTATAACCCTATAGTTCTGTAGCCCGGCGGTATCCAACCGTCTAGTGGTACATTTGCCCCTCCCCAAGCCTCCCAGCCGTCTAGTGGTATATTTGCTCCTCCCCTCGAATCGTCTAGTGGTATATTTGGCCTTTCAACCGTCTAGTCGTATATTTGCGGTCCGAGCTTGCTGCACGGTGAACCAGCAAATATCAGCAGGGGTGGCAGTTCCCATAACCCCTTTGGAAAAACAACACCCCCTAGACCACCCTAACCCACCCTAACCCAGCTTAACCCGCCTTAACCAGGAGAGGTTTTCTGTGCAAAAAAACACCCTCTAACCCTCTCTAACCCACCCTAACGCGCCCTAGCCCACCCTCAGGGTGGGTTAGGGGGTGTTGGGAAGGGTTTTCTGAGCAAAAACACTTCCGAACCCACCCTGACCCACCCTCAGGGTGGGCTAGGGTATGTTAGGCTGGGTTTTTCTGGGCAAACAAACTCCCTATCTCACCCTAACCCGCCCTAACCCACATTCAGAGTGGGGTAAGGAGTGTTCGGATTGATTTTTCTCGGCAAAAACACCACCTAACCCACCGTAGCCCCTAATCCAGCCTAGCCCGCCCTCAGGGCGGGTTAGAGGGTGTCAGGAGGAGCTTTCTGGGCAAAGACACACCGTAACCCACCCTAACCCACCTTAACCCATCCCCAGGGTGGGTTAGGGGGTGTCAGGAGGGGTTGCCTGTGCAAAAAAAAACACCCTTACCCACCCGAACCCACCCTAACCCACGTCTCCACCCGTACAAAGGTGGGGTCACAGTTGATCTGTCGACTTTTTGCCCCATCCATGGAGGGAAGGTTGGTTTTGACGGTGACTGCTCCAGTCTTTGGGGTCCTTGACCGTTGATGTCAAAAAACCCACCCTAACCCACCCTAACCCACCCTCAGGGTGGGTTCGGGGGTGTTAGGAGCGGTTTTCTTAACAAAAAAAACACCACCGAACCCACCCTAACCCACCCTAACCCACCCCAACCCACCCTCAGGGTGGGTTCGGGTGTGTTAGGAAGCGGTTTTCTGTGCAAAAACACCGCCTAACCCACCCTAGCCCGCCCTAACCCACCCTCAGGATGGGTTAGGGGGTGTTAGGATGGGTTTTCTATACAAGAACACATCCTTACCCACCCTAACCCACCCTAACCCATCCTAACCCGCCCTCATGGTGGGTTCGGGGGTGTTAGGAGGGTATTTCGTATCAAAAACACAACCCAACCCACCCTAGCCCACCCTAATCCATCCCAACCCACCCTAACCCACCCTCAGGGTGGGTTGGGGGGTGTTGGGAAGGGGTTTTCTTGGCAAACACACTCCCGAACCCACCCTAACCCAGCCTAACCCACCCTAACCCACCCTCAGGGTGGGTTCGGTGGTGTTAGGAGGGACTTCCATTGCAAAAACATATCCTAACCCACCCTAACCCACCCTCACCCACCCTAACCCACCCTCAGGGTGGGCTCGGGAGTGTTAAGAGGGGTTCTCTTGGCAAAAACGTTCCCTAACCCACCCTGGCCCACCCCAGCCCACCCTAACCCACCCTCAGGGTGGGTTCGGGGGTATTCGGAGCGGTTTTCTGAGCAAAAAAGCACACCCTAAGGGGGTGTTAGGAGAGGTTTTCTGGGCGAGCAAGCACCCCCGAACCCAACCCAACCCATCCTAACCCATCCTAACCCTGAGTGTGGGCTAGTGGGTGTTAGGAAGGGTGTGCTTGGCAAAAACGCACCCTAACCCACCTTAACCCGCCCTAACCCACCCTCAGGGTGGGTTAGGGGGTGTTGGGAAGGGTTGTCATGGCAAAACCACTCCCTAACTTACCCTAACCCATCCTAGCCCATCCTAACCCGCCGCAGGGTTGGTTAGGGGGTGTTCGGAGGGGGTTTCTTGGCAAAAGCACACCCTGACCCACCCTAGCCCCCTCGAACCCACCCTCACCCACCCCCGAGATTGGTCAGGGGGTGTTAGGAAATGTTTTCTTGGCCAAAACACACCCTAACCTATCATAACCCACCCGAACCCGCGCACTACGAATACACCTGCCTCTCCCAGACCCCCCCGTCGTGAGTATGGTCTCGCAGTGCGCATCCCCGCGGTTGCCAGGACCATCCTGTCATCTTGATTTGTCTTCTGCCTGCTTCTTCTGCTCTGTATGTTGCTCCTCCTCCTTCTTCCCCTCCTTCTCCTCTGTTCCTATTCCTCCTGTCATCGTTTCTCTTCGTTTTCGTCTCCTTCTCGTCCTCCTCTTCCTTTTCTCGACTTCCTCTCATCACTACTTCTCTTTGTCGTTGTCGCGGCGGTCTTGTCAGGTTTCCTCGTGCAAACGGCTGGGCGCAGCTCGAAGATGCGCCGAGCGGATTCGCGCGGGAGGTCATCTGGCCAACCGGCAGGTGTAGGGTATAAACAGCTAGGTGCTTCTTCGCGCCCGCCGACAGGTGTAGGGTATAAACAGCTAGGTGCATCTTCGCGCCCGGGGAGGGGCCACACTTTGTTGCCCTCTCCTCCTCCCAGCACCACCTATCCCACATCGTGGGATGGTATATTCCGAATTCCTGTAAGATTGGAAAAGCGTCCCGACAGGAACCGGCAGGTGTCGTCGTCGTCGTCGTCGTCGTCGTCCCAATCGGCCCTGTCTTGACATATACAGGAGTATGCATTTTTAGGCACGTTCCATGGGAATATTTGTAATTATGGATATCAATGCAGTTTCCCGTATAATTCTAGGTAAGGGCACAACGGGTCCCGTGGGCCACGGGGTTTGAATATATCTGAATACATGTCTGTTCGTATGTGTGTGTTTTTGTGCGTACAGATCTGCTCTCCTTTCTTCCACAGAGCTGTCGGGCAAAGTAGCTGCGCACGGCGTCCCCATGCAGAGTGACACACAATGCCGTGGTAGTTCTCCTGACTTCGTCGGTGGCTCAAGTCGGAGCGCGGGGCGCTCGGCACTTGTGACCGTGACCCTTGAGAGGCGCCCTCATGGCCTTGCCTGGTTCGTCGTTGCAGGAATACAACAGCGAGCCTGTAAATTGGTTCGATAGCCTCCGCCAGCAGCGCGAACAGCTCATCCAGCAGATCCAGAGGGAAGAGGAGAGCAAGTGCGAAATCCAGAAGCAGGTCAGTATCCTGACCGACGCGCTGCGCAAGATGAGCGAAGGTCTCGCGCGGAAGAAGCAGGTGCGCAGTGAGTACGATAAAACAATCCAAAAGACTGAGGCGGCTTACATGCAGATCCTTGGTTCTTCGGAGACCTTGCCGTGCGCGACGCAGAGCAAGACCGCCAGCCTCGCACGGGTCGACGTTGAAGGGGTGATGGCGGGCGAACCGCCCCGAAAACGCCGTTGCGCCGTCGACCCGGGAGTGGCCAGGGTCAACCAGATGCTGTGGGAGTCTGGCCCAGTCGCTCAGGAATTGCCTTGCCTGTTCATTCTCACCGTTTGTGTCTGGAGTCTTCACGTCCCTTGCTCTCACCCCTCCCGCTTTCGTCGTGCCCCTCCGCTCTCCGGTGCCGTTCGCCCGCCCCCCTCCCTCCCCTCCTGCCTCTGCGACCAGTTGCCTGCGCTGGCACGACGCCGTCCCCTTTCACAATAAAACAGCTGGGCGAATAAATGTAGTTCAAGTCTTAATGGGAGTCCCCGAGGAGATGTTGGAGAGAGAGGCCGCTCACGCCGGATTGCCCATTGACGCGCTCTTTTACACAGGGTCGGGGTGAGCCACTTGGCCTAGAGTATGCATACAAGCAGCACGCAGCGGGCTGAATTGCATGTTTTCCTCGAAGTAGCGATTACCTCTGCAGGGGTCAGTGCGGGCTCACATGTCTACGCTAGGTGGGCCGCCGTTAACGGCCGCGGTCCGAGCTGCCTGGGTGCTCGTGCCTGGGTGCCCGGGCTCTTCTGTCGATGGCGGTCTTTTCAGTAGAGCTGCGACGTCGCCCATTCACTCGCCGCCCGGTCAGAAGAGCAGCGGCGGCAAGCGGCGAGAAGAGCCGCTCAGCGAAGGGTGCTTCAGAGCGTTAGCAGCGGCAGCGTCGAGAAGTACCGATGAAAAATCCCGCGGCGTTGATCTGTCTGCTTCCATCATATGACGCCCGCGCGAGGGATTCCGTGGTTTCAGGGTTGAAGGGGGCGGTCGTCCGGGTGGCCGTCGAGGAAGAAGTCGCGGGTTCGGCTTCGCGGGTCAGCCCCTCTTTCCACAGCGAAAGCATCAGACTGCATTGGGGAAGACCAGTGCAGGCCAGCTAGTCCCGACCAGCTTGATGAGAGGGTGAGGGGCGGCGTAGAAGTAGACGGGAGGGTCCCCCGCTGACAATGTAGGTGTAGGTCCCCAGTTCGCGTCGGGTTTGCGGGCGAGGCGAAAACGCTTGCGCTGATCAAAAAGGGTTCCCGCTCGTGGTAGGGTCGGTCAGAGCCGAGGACCCGTTCGCCCCCGCTCCCGGGGGTCCAGCGGCCGCGCGGAGACATTGCCACAATTGGCGCCCTGGGGTCGTTTTGAATTGTCACGGGGTTCTCGTCTTTCTCTCGGGAGCGGACACAAACGAAACAGGATGATCGCAATCTCCAGTGGGGACCTCCGATCGTTCGTGTTTGCCGGAAAGGAGGGGGGGGGGAGGGAGGGTGGAAAGGCTGTCGGGCGGCGGCGGTGGCAACGGTCAATCGTCGCTCGGCGGTGGGTCGGTGAACGCCCCTCGGTGAGTCAGCGCTCCGCGGTCTGTCGGTAGCCTGCGGTCTGCTGCAGACAAAGCTTTAGCGCGGCGTTCATCGTTCTGCATCGTGCCCGGGATCATATCCTTGGGGGTGCGTCCTGTCGCGTGTTCGGCTTCGCGGGCCAGCCCCTCTTTCCACAGCGAAAGCTTCAGCTTACGTTGGGGAAGACCATCGCAGGCCAGCTAGCCCCATTCAGCTTGATGCGAGGGCGCGGGGCGGCGTAGAAGTAGACGGGAGGGTCCCCCGCTGACAATGTAGGTGTAGGTCCCCAGTTCGCGTCGGGTTTGCGGGCGAGGCGACGACGCCTGCGTTGGCGAAAAAGGGTTCCCGCTCGTGATAGGGTCGGTCAGAGCCGATGGCCCGTTCGGCCCCGCTCTCGGGGGCCCAGCGGCCGCGCGGATACCCGGCCGCGAGTGGCGCCCAGGGGTCGTTTTGCATTGTCACGAGGTTGTCGTCTTTTTCTTGGGAGCGAACACAAACGAAACAGGATGATCGCAATCTCCAGGGGAGATCTCCGATTCTTCGGGTTTGCCGGGAAAAAGGGGGGGAGGGAGGGTGGAAAGGCTGTCGGCCGGCGGCGGTGGCAACGGTCGATCGTCGCTCGGCGGTGTGTCGGTGAACGCCTCTCGGTGAGTCAGCGCTCCGCGGTCTGTCGGTAGCCTGCGGTCTGGAGCAGACTGTTGGTGAAGATGAGAATGATGATGATGACGATGATGACGATCATGGGGATGATGTGGATGGTGATGCGGGTGATGGTGATTACGACGACAGTGGTGATGGTGCTGATGGGGATGGTGGTGTTGATCATGGTGATGATGATCATCATGATGATGAGGATGATGATGATGGTGAAGACGCCCACCATCAACCACCCATCCTCCACCATCCTACCACGCGCCCATTCACACACCACCCACCTCCCACCCACCACCCACCCACCACCCACCCACCATCCACCCACCACCCACCCACCACCCACTCACAACCCACCCACCACTCAGTGACTCAGCCACCACACACCACGACGACGCGCTGCGAGGGGAGGCGCTTCATGTAGAGCAACGCGCCCTCTCCATCCTTGTAATTGCTGCAGATTGCAAGCTTTGGGATCATGATTTGCGTGGAGCTCCCATGAAAAAGCCCGGACCGCCCGAACGGAATGATGTTGATGATGATGATGACGACCATGGTGATGATGTCAGTGGTGATGCTGGCAATGGTGATTACGACGGCAGTGGTCATGGTGTTAATGGTTATGGTGGTGTTGATGATGGTGATGATGGTCATGATGATGATGATGATGATCATGGTGAAGACGCCCACCACCAACCACCCACCCACCACCCACCCACCACTCATCCATTCACACACCACCCACCGCCCACTCACCACTCACCCACCACCCACCCACCCACCACCCACCCTCCATTCACCCACCACCCACCCACAACGTACCCACCACTCAGCCACCACACACCACGACGACGCGGCGCGAAGCCGGGGGGGGTCCCCGTTGAGCCGCAGCTTTCGGGGTTCAAGCTGTTGCCGTCGGCTCCAGTAGTGTGGACCGACGGGGAGAGCGCAGCCCGCTTCCAGAGCTTTCCGGAATGACAACGGCAGCTGCCAACGGGCTCGATGTCCCGCGGGCACGTGCGGGGGCACCTGTGCACGCAGATGCTCGTTTCGGGCCCCTCGGCAACACATTCCTGCCCTTGGAAGAGCCACGCCGCGTTGCGAAGCGCTCGCACAGCTACCCGGGGTACGTGCCGTACGTTTTCGAGAAGGTTCTCAGTGAGCTTGAATTAGCGCGTGTTCGCGGAGGCGGTGGTTCGCCGAGGTCGTCCGAGCACGCGGCTAGGGCCGCGTGCATACCAGCGGTGAACAGCCTCCTGGGGGTGCCGGCAGCCAGCCGCCGTGTCGTCATCGAGGCAACCGTGGAGGGTCAGAGTGCGTTCCCCTCTACGGGGGTGGCATGGTTGCCCGTGGCGTACCCAACGGCGGGCCGGATGCGCCGCTGGGAGGCGGAGCAGGTAGCGGCGGCGTTCGGCGGCCGCTTCTGCACGTTTTTCAACCGCAACAACTGCGAGCGTTTTCCGTGCCCGTACGTTCACGTGGTCGGAGCGGGTCGAACAGGTGGTCGTGGAGGCCAACGTCGCTGAGCTCTCGTGTTCGGCCCGCCCTTGCGAAAGCCATGGCGGCGCACACAGCACTGGAGGAGCCATTTTTCTGTGCGGCTAGTTTGCGGGCGCGGACATCTGAAGAACGCTTCCCGCCCAGACTGCAGTACCCCTTCCTCTCGCCTCGCCTCGCGTCGCATGTGTTGCGTATGTCTGGTGTGGGCAGGTGTGTCTGTTCCGGAGCAGTAGGCCCAGGCGGCTGTTGTATCATATTTGTCGGGGGGCAAGCGTGCGCGACAGACGCGCGTGCTTGTCGCCCATGTCGCAGAGAGCGGCGGGGTGATGGGAGCCGATGGTTCAGCGGGGGAGGGGAGTGAATAGGGAGAGACCGCGGGAAGGAAAGAGAGAGTGGGAGAGGGAGAGGTTGGGCTGCGATCTGGCGTGTCCTTTGCTTCCGCCGTTCTCTGTCGAGGGCTTCGTGAGACTTGGCGGACCCCATTTCTGGAGATTTCCGTTCTCGCGCATGCGACTCGCCAACGGAGGCGTCGCACGTGACATATGTACCATAGCGATCGATTGGTGGGCGGCGAGAAGGGCCGCTCACTGTCCGAGACGCCGTCCTTGGCTCCCGCCGTTCTCTGTCGTGGCCTTCGGGAGACTCGGCGAACCCTTTCTCTGGAGATTTCCGTTCTCGCGCATGCGACTCGCCAACAGAAGCGTCGCACGTGACATGTGTACCATAGGCGTCGATTGGCGGGCGGCGAGAAGGGCCGCCCACTGTCCGAGACGCCCGCGAAGAGGCGGAGAGCGCGCTTCCGGCTGGCATCCGAAACATATGCAGTGGGTGTCTGCCGCCGATGTGTGAATAAACCCTCATAGTCATCTGCATGACCGCCGGCGCTCACATGCCCTGATGTCAGTGGCGAGGCGGGAGCGGCGAACAGGGCCCCGGGAACGGCCCAAGGCGCTCCCCCCTTCGCCATCGCCGTGGAGAAGAGCCCCGAGGGGACCTCCTCCTCCTCCCTCTTCCCTCCTCTCCCTCCCCCTCTCCCCTCCCTCCTCCTTCCCCCCCTCCCTTTTCTCCTCCTCGGCCTCCGTGCCCCCAGTGACCCACGGGCTCCGGGAACGGTCCAAGCGGCTCCCTCCTTCGCCGTCGCCGTGAAGAAGAGCCCCGAGGGAAAGCAAGAGCTCCCAAGAAGGCGCGAAGTTATCCACGCTTCGCGCTTTGCGGCCCTCCTTCCTCCTCCCCTCCTCCTTCCCCTCCTCCTCTGCACCTTCGGGGCGGCGCGAGAGCGTTAAGTTGTTCCCGCTTCGTGCAGCGCGAAGCGTGAAGTTTGGGGCCCTGAGGGAAAGAAGATCATGGGGCGGCTCGCCGTTCGGGCCGAGCTTGCTGCACGTTGAACCAGCACAAACACGTGCGAGTAAAAGCACGCCGCCATCTAGCTTCATGGCGCGACCGGGGGTATCGTGTCGTCATTTATTGTGACGTTCTGGCCTCTGGCACACCCACGTTGGGAGATGTTGGCTGTCGCCCAGCGGGTGTTACAGGCACTGCCCACCTTCTCTCCTCTCTTCTCGCTTTCCTTGGGATAGGCCTCCATCTCGTGGGGTTTTTTCGAAAAAGCGGGACGAGGCGAAGAGCGGCGACAGTTGCGCATGTGGCAGCCCCAGGGCGACGACGACGCTGACGGCGACGACGACGACGACGGCGACGACGACGACAACGACAACGACCATGCTGATGACGAGGGCGACGATGACGACGACGGCGGCGGGGCGGCCGACCAACCGGAAAGTTCGAACTTTCCGGTCGGCCGTCCGCCCGGCCGTCGACCGTGATGATGACGATGATGACGATGACGATGATGACGACGACGGCGGGGCGGCCGACTAACCGGAAAGTTTGAACTTTTCGGTCGGTCGTCCGCCCGGCCGTCGACCATGATGACGATGATGACGAGGACGACGACGACGGCGGGCGGCCGACTAACCGGCTAGATCGAACTTTTTGGTCGGTCGTCCGCCCAGGTGTCGACCATGATGATGATGATGACGATGACGACGACGACGACGACGGCGGGGCGGCCGACCAACCGGAAAGTTCGAACATTCCGATCGGTCGTCCGCCCGGCCGTCGAACATGATGATGACGATTATGACGATGACGACGACGACGGCGGGGAGGCCAACCAACCGGAAAGTTCGATCTTTCCGG